AGCTGACGGAGCCGCGCTGGGGCTCGTACGGAGCGAAGGTAGGTTGTTGTTGTTGATTCCCGCGTGCGTAGGATGAGCCATCGAGACTCATGGGTGTCACGTTGTTTGATTGCGCAGGTACTCCTTGCTGATGCTGCTCGTAGAAGGACATGAAGGAGAAGAACTTCTCCATCATGCTTGGATCGAAGCCCGCGCCTTGGTTTGCGGGTGTTTCAGTAGACCCAGCGGCCGGTCTCGTTGTTGTGCCTTCCTCTGTCTGTAGGCCAGAGGCAGGAGGTGGAGTAGGAGTAGTACCAGGAGAGCCTTTGGAGGAGCTCCTCTCCTTTCTAGTCGACATGTCTCTTGGTGTAATTTAAGGGGAAATAGAATTTTAACCCTAACCAGCTCTCATACCATGTTGGGCTGAGTGCCCCTTAGGATCTTTGGTAGGGTTAATCTCTGGGTAGAATGATGTAGTAGCGGAAGCGTTAACAAAGAGATTCTGAACCACCTTGCGCTAGTATGTGAGGGCAAAGTAAGTTAATTAAAACAAGGAGATACAAGATTTTATATATGATTACAAGGAATACGAAGAGATACGAATGATAACTGTTTTACTGTTGGCTGTTGCGGTTCGATACAGTGCGACTCGGGCAACTGCTCAATATCGAGTCAGTTGGGTGTCCTTGCTGTCGCGCTGCATTTGTCAAGTCAAAGGTCGCTGACCTTTGACCTTCGCGTAACCTCCAGCTGTTGCTTCAACTTCCGAGGGTTGACTCGCTGGTGCCTCGATATGCGTTGCTTCACTTGTGTCTTTAGTGTTTCGACACGACAGAGGCGCTTAGGACCGATTGTTTCCAACACATGTGGGACCCTATGAACTCTATTAGCTTGATGCCCGGGGGAGGAAAGAGGAGAAAGGGGCCGAGGGACAGAGATGACTTTTGAGTCGACTCAAAAGTCACTTGGAAAGAGGAGAAAGGGGCCGAGGGACAGAGATGACTTTTGAGTCGACTCAAAAGTCACTTGGAAAGAGGAGAAAGGGGCCGAGGGACAGAGATGACTTTTGAGTCGACTCAGAAGTCACTTGGAAAGAGGAGAAAGGGGCCGAGGCACAGAGATGACTTTTGAGTCGACTCAAAAGTCACTTGGAAAGAGGAGAAAGGGGCCGAGGCACAGAGATGACTTTTGAGCCGACTCAAAAGTCACTGGGAAAGAGGAGAAAGGGGCCGAGGCACAGAGATGACTTTTGAGTCGACTCAAAAGTCACTTGGAAAGAGGAGAAAGGGGCCGAGGCACAGAGATGACTTTTGAGTCGACTCAAAAGTCACTTGTAAAGAGGAGAAAGGGGCCGAGGGACAGAGAGAGCGGGAAGGGGAAGGGATGGAATGAGAATTGGAATAAGCCTAGGCTTGTGGAGCCATGTATATGTGGGACCCTATGAACTCCGTGAGCTTGGTGCCTGGGGGAGGAAAGAGGGAAGGGGTCAGAGGGAGTGGGGCAGGATGAACAGGAAGAAAAGGAGGCTAATCACGACGCTTCCAAGGCAAGAGTTGTTGGTCTGGTGGCGTGCACGTGTGAGAGCAGGAAGTGGAAGGGAAGGGAGAAGACGGAGACAGGGAGGGGAGCAGAACAAATTGTCGGCCTGGCAACATGAGAAGCATCACAGAGCCTGCTGCGGTGCATCTTGCATCACAGACGCACCCCTAGGTGCATCTTGCTCATTCTCTGAAACCACACCGCACCCGCAGCACCAGTACCAATCAGCACCACCAGCACCTTCCAGCCTCACCCCACCGACCCACCTGACTTGATCGGCGCAGCAATCCCAGAGTCCGTGACCTTGACAGCGACGTCATTTCGAGACGTCTCAGAAATCCCAGAGTCCTTGACAGCGACGTCATTTTAGATGTCTCAGAAATCCCAAAGTCCATGACCTTGACAGCGACGTCATCAGTGGGCGAGCAGAGCAGCAGGTTCTCGGACTTCACATCGCGGTGCATGACTTTCAGGGAGTGGCACGCCTGCAGCACCCCCTTCACATCCCGATGCACGCCTTTCAAATTCACCTCATGTTTTGAGTCGACTCAAAACACGACTCAAAACTTGAGTCGACTCAAAACACGACTCAAAACTTGAGTCGACTCAAAACTTGAGTCGACTCAAAACACGACTCAAAACTTGAGTCGACTCAAAACACGACTCAAAACTTGAGTCGACTCAAAACACGACTCAAAACTTGAGTCGACTCAAAACACGACTCAAAACCCGACTCAAAACACGACTCAAAACTTGAGTCGACTTAAAACACGACTCAAAACTTGAGTCGACTCAAAACACGACTCAAAACTTGAGTCGACTAAAAACACGACTCAAAACACGACTCAAAACTTGAGTCGACTCAAAACACGACTCAAAACTTGAGTCGGCTCAAAACACGACTCAAAACACGACTCAAAACTTGAGTCGACTCAAAACACGACTCAAAACTGCAGCTGCTGGAGCAGCAACACGGTGTGCAACCCATGCAGATGGAGCAGCAGCAGACTGCTCAGTCTGGCGTTCCCTCCACGATTGCAGGACCCTTCAACTTCACTGTGAATGCCTCCACAGGTGCTTCTACTCCCCATTCTCTCCATCCTTCAGTGCATCCTCCTCCCCACCCTCTGTTAAGCATCTTCCATCCTCCCCTTGACAGAGTGCTCTGCGGTGCTGTCAGCAGTAGTGGCGACAGCAGTACCACCACCAACGCTGCAGTTACCTCTATTCCCGCCACCACCAATCCCACAACAAGCAGCAACAGCAGTCACAAATTCAAGCGAGTACCAAGCGGGTCCAAAGCACCTGACACACCTAGAAAAATCCCTGGCACTCCAAAGGAACCTTCCTCGCTGCCTCTCCGCCGTCTGTGGGCTTCTGCAAAGACCGTCCCAGTGGATCATTTGCTTAGCAGCAACGAATCTCTGCCTCCTCCTCCTTCTCCTCCCTCTCACGCTCCCCACTCCCCCCGCCCTACTGTTCCCTTTTCCTCCTCCATTGGCGCTCTCACTCCCCCTCCTCATATTGGGAGAGCCACGCCACGTGGCAGCAAGAGATTGACCGTGGAGTATCGAAAATAGTTGAACGAGAAGATTGAGTTAAGTTGAAACTAGGGCCTAGGCTTAGGAGCCTAGGCCCGAGATTAGGTGTCGAGTAGTTCTTGCCTAGGGTGAGGTTCGAGTGAGTAAGAGAAGTTGGGAAGAAATGTGTTTTCACTATAGATTTCGAAGTACATATAGCAAAGGAAACAAATGAGGAGGTGCACCACCTACAAATTTAATAACTACACTACAGCTAGAACTACATGCAGTTATAATAAACATAATTCTGACATCCCCCCGTAACTGCATGCAGGAATAGCTAAGTGCAGAGCACAAGCTGCAGAGGTACACCAACGAACAATAAAACAAGCAACAGCAGGTACTGCAGGCGGGCTAACTTTGAATGGTTACCCCCTCCATCTCCTCACCCTCCTCCTTCCCCTCCCCCACACTGCTGCAGGAGCAGCAGAGAGGGGGGGAAGAGAGGAGAGGTGGAGGGACGGCTGCTGGTTGCCTCACACCCGCCACCCCGGTGCCTCTCCCCCTGCTCCCCCACACCCTCACACCCTCCCCCCCAGCGGCAGCTGCAGCAGTGGGAACGAAAGGAGGAGGAGGGGAAGGGAAGTGAACGACCCAACACCCCAACACCCGCCACCCCCATACCCTCCCCCCCACGGCTGCAGGGAGAAAAAAAAAAGGAGGAGGGGGTGGGTGGGAAGAAAGTCGCAGAGCGGCTTCAATGTGTTGGACCGGTTAGCTCAGGGGCGGCTGAATGGAGAGCGGGTGCGGAAAGGCCCGTCGCGTGCCACGGGGCGCACGACGGGTAAGAGTAAGTGTAGGGCCCGATCGTGTGCCACGGGGCGCACGACGAGCAGGGCACCGTCGCGTGCCACGGGGCGCACGACGGGCAGATTTAGGGCACCGTCGCGTGCCACGGGGCGCGCGACGGGCAGATAAGGAGTCACACGCCCGAGGGCGGGACAATAAAAATTCGCCACGCGCCCTAGGCGCGCGACCGAAAAAGCGTAGCAGCGGAAGCATGAGGCGGGCCCACAGGCCAGGACGAATGTCGCTCTGATAGCATATCGAAAATAGTTGAACGAGAAGATTGAGTTAAGTTGAAACTAGGGCCTAGGCTTAGGAGCCTAGGCCCGAGATTAGGTGTCGAGTAGTTCTTGCCTAGGGTGAGGTTCGAGTGAGTTGGAAGAGAAGTTGGGAAGAAATGTGTTTTCACTATAGATTTCGAAGTACATATAGCAAAGGAAACAAATGAGGAGGTGCACCACCTACAAATTTAATAACTACACTACAGCTAGAACTACATGCAGTTATAATAAACATAATTATGACATGGAGGTCCCGGCTTGTCAGAGCGAAGATCTTGATTTGCGTAGGACACCCAGGGCCAGTACACCCAGAGAAGGTACAGCCAGAGGTACACCTAGGGCAGGTACACCCAAAGAAGGCACAACCAAGGCAGGTACACCCAGGGCAGGTACACCCAAAACAGGTACATCCATTTTCAGCTCAACCAATCCCAACGGTGAGGCTTTAACTCCTAGAATGCGGAGCCAAGGAACCAGATCCTTTAAAGCCTCTGACTCGTTTAGAGTAAGAGATGCTACAGGACGGCCGCAAAAGTCGGACAGTATCGAGGCTGGGGAGCCTGCAGCTGCGAAGGAAGTAGAAAAGGAAGTAGAGAGGGAAAGGGGGAGGAAGCATGAGACAAAAAAGGCGAGAGGGCAGAAGAAGGAGGGGGAGGGCGAGGAGCAAAAGAAAGAGAAGGAGAAGGATAGAATGAAGGAGGTCGATAAGCCGGATAAACCGGATAAGCCGGAAAAGCTTGATAGGCCGGATAGGCCTGATAGGTCTGATAGGCCTGGGAGGCACCTATGGTCCCAATTGAAGGATCGCTTGTGAGTGCGGTCTTCAAATAAAAGCATGGATACCATTGCATTCTCGCCTCTCTCTCTCCCCCTTGCTGACCCTCGCCACACCCTGCCTCTGTCCCACATCCCTCTCTCTACGCATCACACCACTGTCCCTCCCGGGCATCCCATTGCAACCCCGCTTCTAGCACCTGACGCCGCTTCTTCTGCCCCTTCTTCTGCACAGTTTTCTGGGCCCGCGGAGGGTAGTAATCCTCTGAGTGTGAGCAGCAGGGGCAGCGGTAGCAGCAGGAAGCTCGTAGTCTCTGCTTCCTCTCGGAGCTTGAAGCAAGCACCCAGCATTGGTGCTGGGGGGGATGGTAGTGCTGGGCGCAGTGTTGAAGACGGCTCCAGGAAGGATAGGAGGTCACCTGCTGGTGTTGCTGTTGGCCCTGGTGCTTCCAGTGCTGCTGTTGGCCCTGGTGCTTCCAGTGCTGCTGTTGGCCTTGGTGCTTCCAGTGCTGCTGTTGGCCCTGGTGCTTCCAGTGCTGCTGTTGGCCCTGGTGCTTCCAGTTCTGCTGTTGGCCTTGGTGCTTCCAGTGCTGCTGTTGGCCCTGGTGTTTCCAGTGCTGCTGTTGGCCCTGGTGCTTCCAGTGCTGCTGTTGGCCCTGGTGCTTCCAGTGCTGCTGTTGGCCCTGGTGCTTCCAGTGCTGCTGCTGGCCCTGGTGCTTCCAGTGCTGCTGTTGGCCCTGGTGCTTCCAGTGCTACTGTTGGCCCTGGTGCTTCCAGTGCTGCTGTTGGCCCTGGTGCTTCCAGTGCTGCTGTTGGCCCTGGTGCTTCTAGTGCTGCTATTGGCCCTGGTGCTTCCAGTGCTGCTGTTGGCCCTGGTGCTTCCAGTGCTGCTGTTGGCCCTGGTGCTTCCAGTGCTGCTGTTGGCCCTGGTGCTTCCAGTGCTGCTGTTGGCCCTGGTGCTTCCAGTGCTGCTGTTGGCCCTGGTGCTTCCAGTGCTGCTGTTGGCCCTGGTGCTTCTAGTGCTGCTGTTGGCCCTGGTGCTTCCAGTGCTGCTGCTGCTGCCGGTTCTGCCGCTGCCTGCAAACGCAACGTTTTGGAGGCACAGGCGAGCCAAATCAGCTATTAGTTTCGCGGTGGCTGATTATATCGAAGCAGGGGTGAAGGGTGTGGGGTTGAGCGACAGTGAATCAGATGTGACCAGCACATGTGGCAAGGTTGAGACCAGCACACGTGGCAAGGTTGAGGAGAGAGGGGGAAAGAGAGGCGGGGAGAGAGGTGGGGAAAGAGGGAGGGGACGATTGGGGGAAAGACAGGGGGAGAGAGGGAAGGAGAGTGGTAAGGAGAAAGAGCTGGAGAGGCATGATACAAATCGGAGGGACGTGCAGAAATGGGTGTCGAGCCTTGTTCTTCTGAAAGGTGGGGATGATGGCGATGAAGGGGACGAGGGGGATGAGGGGGATGAGGAGGATGGGGAAAGAGTGATGATGATGCGCGTGGCAAGTGCTGGTGAGGTGGCTAAGAGCAGAAGCCCTAGAACTCCTAGGAAATCTCCTGGTAAATCTCCTGGTAAAAGCTTGACAGGGAGCAGGCGAAGAAGCCCCAGAAGCTTCAAGGAAGGGCAGGGCAGAGGAGACTCGTTATTGGAGAATCCGTTAATCAGAGATCATACTGGTGACGAGAAAGAGTAGCAGAGGCGACGCCAGGAGCGGCGGCTGCGGCAGCTGCGAGTGGGAAGGAGGTCGAGAGGGGGAGAGGAGGAGATGGGTTGGGAAGAGGAAGGAGATGAAGGGGTGGAGGGGATGGAGGGGGGGTCGGGGATAGGAGAGAAGGGCGGAGGTGAGAGGGGGAGGAGCGAGTGGGAGGCAGCAGGCAGGCATGTGCGGCTGAGGTGTTGCTGATGAGACAGTTGCAGGAGAGGGAAGAGGATGAGGGAAGAGATGAGGGAGGAGGTGGGGGAGGAGAGAAAGATGGAGGGAGAGAGCAGAGGAGGAGGGATAGATCCCGAGGCAGGGCTTCCTTCAGGGAGACCAAGAGTGGGGAAGGGAAAGAGGGAGATGGAGGACATATGGAGAGAGGGAAAGAGAAGGGGGCCAGGGATGGAGGAGAGAACATGGGCGAGCGACAGCAAGAGAAGGAGCGTATGGAAGTTGAGAGTGGGAGTGGCAAGCAGCCTAAGATGAAGGACGAGGCTGAGTTGAGAAAGGTACGGGATGGGGGAGCAAAGGAGGGTGGGGTACGGGGTGGAGAAAGGAAGGAGGGTGGGGAAAGGAAGGAGGGTGGGGAAAGGAAGGAGGGTGGGGAAAGGAAGGAGGGTGGGGAAAGGAAGGATGGCGGGGAAAGGAAGGAGGGTGGGGATAGCAAGGAGAGAAGAGCAAGGAAAGACATCATCTCAAAGTTGTCAAAGCGAGACAGTGCCTTGGCGCGCAGCAACGAGAAGGTTTACGCCACCATGTGCCGATCCAAAGACCTCAAGTCCACCAGTGGTGGTGACCCCTCCGATCCTGCCAAGCCCTCTCCTGCTGCTGCTAGAGCCCTTGCAGCTTTTGATGCGTCTAAAGTTCGCGGCGCGATCACCCCGGGACGGTCCCGGGGGAAAACTGGCGGGACCTCGTTCCGGGCAGCTGAAAAGAGCATGCTGCCCGATTTCGAGACGGCGATGATGGATTTGAAGCTGGATCTGAAGGCAGCAGCAGGCAGCTCGTCTGGCTTTGAGGATCATCGGCAGAAACAGTCGGCTTCAGCTGCCGCTGCTGCTACCGCTGCCATCGCTGCTGCTGCTGTTGGTGGTGCTGCTGCTACCGAGGTCTCGAGCAGAAGCAGCAGGGCGAAAAGCCCTTGGCGTAGCTCCAAGGACCGTAGAGGGATGTCTCAGAGCGACCTGCGCTTCGACCTTGACCTCCTAGAAGACCCCCTTGGGGGCTTAGATAGCACCTCTCTGGATAAAACCTCTCTGGATAGAACCTCTCTGGATAAAACCTCTCTAGATAAAACCTCTCTGGATAAAACCTCTCTGGATAAAACCTCTTTGGATAAAACCTCTTTGGTTGATGCCTCACTGGGTGTCAGAGGGGGGTTGGGGCTGGGCGGGAAGGGGCGGGTGCGAGAGAGGGGGATTCGACGGTCTGGTGAGAGCGCGGGGAGTTTGACTGAGGTGGTGAGCGGGAGTGGCAGGGAGAAGGTGAGGGAGAAAGGGCGGCGGGTGAGGAAGGAGTGGACGCAAGAGGGGGAGAGGGAGAAGGAGAGGGAGCGGGAGCGGGAGAGGAGTAAGGACGAAGGGAGATCATCCTCTGGTGCGCGTGCACCTGATAATAGTCAGAGCAGGAGCACCCCTGGTAGAAGCAGCAGCAAGGATGGCAGCAGCAGCAGCAACAGCAGCAGCAGCAGAAAACGTCCCAGCAACCAGAGCCAAAACCTCAGCCCATTACGGATCGAAATGCCTGTCTCGCCCCATACCCCATCGACCTCCGGCTTTAAATCCAGCTTCCTATCGAGCATGCTGTCTCCGAGGGGAATCATAGGCTCCTGGCGGCCTACCAAAGTGGGGCTTTTAGGCGGGGAGATCTGCTCTCTGCAGGAGCGGTACTTAGTTAAGCAGGAGATCGGGAGCGGGTCGTATGGGATGATCCGGGCGGTGAGGGAGAAGGCAACTGGCAAGACGTGGGCGTGCAAGGGCATTGACAAGGATCAGATACAGGTGAGACGATTTTGATTGGACACAATATAAGACGTAGCCTTGCACTCCTTGCACTCCCTTCCCTCTTCCCCTTTCTCTCCTGTCCTTTCCTCTCAAGTCCCCCATGGCCCCTTTCAGTCCACGGCAGCAGTGGCAGCACTTTGGCAGGAAGTGGCGGTTATGCAATCCTGAAGCAGCTGCTGAAGGTGAATTTTGAGGCGCCTCAAAAATCAACTCATATCTGGCGGTTACGCAACTGCTGAAGGGGCAGCGCCCTTCCCTTTCTGCTCCTTACACTACTGTCTTCCCCCACGGGGTAGCCCCCCGTGCGCTCCCCCACGCCCCTCTTCATACCAAGACAGCAGTGGCGGCGCTACAGCAGTAAGTGGCAGAGATGCAGCTGCTGAAGGGGCATAGCAATTTCTCCCTCACACTCTCCCTCCATTTTCCCGCTCCCTCACTGCCTCACTCCTCCGCTTCCTTACTACCCCCTTCAGACCAAGGCAGCAGTGGCGGCGCTACAGCAGGAAGTGGCAGTGATGCGGCTGCTGAAGGGACATGCGCATGTGGTGGAGATGAAAGAGACGGTTGAAGATGACACGGTACGTGTGTGATGGACGGGATGGGGTGTGTGATGCATGGTATGTGATTATATGATTACTGAGTCGTCCAATAGCAGCATGTGGTGGACATGAAAGAGACAGTTGAAGATGGCACGGTACGAGTGTGTCCGTGCACTGGCTTGATGTGTGTGTGTATATGCGTTTGCTTGTGATGTGTGGAGTGTGGGACAAGAGGCTCACCTTGACACCGAGGCCAACACCCTTCCAGGTTCCAAAGCCCTTTCCGCTCTTTCCCTCGCCCCCTTTTTCCCGAACCCCCCCTCTCTCCCACCCACCAGCACGTGCGTATCATCATGGCGCTCAATCAGGTGAACTGACTGTTGAGTCGATCCAAAAGATTTTTGAGGCGCCTCAAAAATCATCATGGCGCTCAATCAGGCGAAGTGACTGTTGAGTCGACTCAAAAGTACCTCCCCTCTCTCCCACCCACCAGCACGAGCATATCATCATGGCACTCAATCAGGCAGGGGATCTCTTTGATTGCATCAATCAGCGCAGCCGCTACGAGGAGAAACCCGCAGTGGCAGTGCTGCAGCAGCTGGCGCTCAAACCCTCACCCTTCTTCCCCTCACCCTGCCTCACCTTTTCCCCCTTTTCTCCTTCTTTTGACCCTCCTTCCTTCCCTCCCCCTCCTCCTCCCCCCCCCCCCCCCCCCCCCCCCCACACCAGCACGTGCACATAATCATGGAGCTCTGCAAGGGCGGGGACCCGTTTGACCGCATCAAGCAGCGCAGCCGCTACGAGGAGAAACCCGCAGTCGCCGTGCTGCAGCAGTTGTCGCTGGTGCTGCGGGCGTGCCACTCGCTGGGGGTCATGCACCGCGATGTGAAGCCCGAGAACCTGCTGCTCTGCTCGCCCACTGATGACGTCACTGTGAAAGTTACTGACTTTGGGATTGCTGCGTCTATTAAATCAGGTGAGTCAGGGGGCCAAGATTTGTGAGGCCCAAGAATTTGCTGCTCTGCTCGCCCACAGATGATGTCGCTGTCAAGGTCACCTGTGCTCACAGACGCATGTGCTCACGTGTACAAAGTGATATTTTGAGACGTCTCAAAAATTCTTGAGACGTCTCAGAAGATGTTTCTGTCAAGGTCACCTGTGCCCACAGACGCATGTGCTCACAGATTAGGGATGTGCTGCATCTGTCGAGACAGGTGAGGCGTGGGGTGGGAGATTTGGGATTGAGAAGGATTGGGGACTGAACAAGATTTGGAGTGGAACGATAGGGGGCTGAGAAACAAACGGAGTGATGGGGAGTGCTTCAGCAGCTGGCGCTGGTGCTGCGGGCGTGCCACTCTCAAGCTCACGGGGTTCATAGAATCTCACATGTACATGGCGTTGCAGGTTGTTTTTTAGAATTTTCAAATCAACCTGCTTACATGTATAAGGCACCAGAAGCTCCACACTCTCTCCTTTCTTGCTCCTCTACCCTCCTCCCACTCTCTCCCCACTCCTCCAGGCGCCAAGTTAACGGAGTTCATAGGGTCACACATGTACATGGCACCAGAAGCGTAGGCTTTTTTTCTATCTAGTGCTCATTCAATGCCATTTCCTGCTCGTCCCTCCTCCCCGTCCCAGGCGCCAAGCTCACGGAGTTCAAAGGATCCCACACGTACATGGCACCTGAACCTCCACTCTCAACCCCCTTTTCTTCCCCTTCTTGCTCTTCTGCCCTCCTCCCTCTTGTGCCCTCCCTCCCAGGCGCCAAGCTCACGGAGTTCATAGGGTCCCACATGTACATGGCACCAGAAGTGATCAACAAGAGCTATAGTGCGGAGGCCGACGTCTGGTCGGCGGGAGTCGTCTTATACATCCTTCTGGCCGGCGTGCCGCCCTTCTGGGCCTCCACAGAATCCGGAGTGCTGGATGCAATCGTATCCAAGCCTCTCAACTTCTCCTTCCCACCATGGCCTTCCATATCCACTGATGCCAAGGACCTTATAAAAGAGATGCTTAAGAAAGACCCGGCGGAGAGAATCACACTGGACGCTGTACTTGGTAAGTTCGCCTTTCACTAAGCACCATAAGTTACAATATCACTAAGCATTGCTGCTCTGCCGTTTACCACCCCTTAAGCCTTGCTGCTTCGTAAGTCAAGCACCCTCTAAGCACTGGTAAACTTTAAAGGTTTACCTCTCACTGCTTTTCCGCAGTTCAACATGTATTTGTAGGTGCGGTTCCGTGAGTTTACCTCCCTCTGAGCACCGCTGCTTCTTAAGCTTGTCTTCTGTCTAGGGATGCTCCATTCCTCTTGCTCGCACTGTACCCCTGCTCGCACTCTCCCCCTGCTCGCACTCTACCCCTGCTCGCACTCTCCCCCTGCTCGCACTCTACCCCTACTCGCACTCTCCCCCTGCTCGCACTCTCCCTCTGCTCGCACTCTCCCCCTGCTCGCACTCTACCCCTGCTCGCACTCTCCCCCTGCTCGCACTCTCCCCCTGCTCGCACTCTCCCCCTGCTCGCACTCTCCCCCTGCTCGCACTCTCCCCCTGCTCGCACTCTCCCCCTGCTCGCACTCTCCCCCTGCTCGCACTCTCCTCCTGCTCGCACTCTCCCCCTGCTCGCACTCTCCCCCTGCTCGCACCCCCCCCCCCCTGCTCGCACTCACCCCCTGCTCGCACTCTCCTCCTGCTCGCACTCTCCCCCTGCTCGCATTCTCCCCCTGCTCGCACTCTCCCCCTGCTCGCACTCTCCCCCTGCTCGCACTCTCCCCCTACTCGCACTCTCCCCCTGCTCGCACTCCCCCCCTGCTCGCACTATACCCCTGCTCGCACTCTCCCCCTGCTCGCACTCTACCCCTGCTCGCACTCTCCCCCTGCTCGCACTCTCCCCCTGCTCGCACTCTCCCCCTGCTCGCACTCTACCCCTGCTCGCACTCTTCCCCTGCTCGCACTCTCCCCCTGCTCGCACTCTCCCCCTGCTCGCACTCTCCCCCTGCTCGCACTCTCCTCCTGCTCGCACTCTCCCCCTGCTCGCACTCTCCCCCTGCTTGCACTCTCCCCCTGCTCGCACTCTCCCCCTGCTCGCACTCTCCCCCTGCTCGCACTCCCCCCCTGCTCGCACTCTCCTCCTGCTCGCACTCTCCCCCTGCTCGCACTCTCCCCCTGCTCGCACCCCCCCCTGCTCGCACTCTCCCCCTGCTCGCACTCTCCCCCTGCTCGCACTCTCCTCCTGCTTGCACTCTCCCCCTGCTCGCACTCTCCCCCTGCTCGCACTCTCCCCCTACTCGCACTCTCCCCCTGCTCGCACTCTCCCCCTGCTCGCACTCTCCCCCTGCTCGCACTCTCACCCTGCTCGCACCCCCCCCCCTGCTCGCACTCTCCCCCTGCTCGCACTCTCCCCCTGCTCGCACTCTCCCCCTGCTCGCACTCTCCCCCTGCTCGCACCCCCCCCCTTGCTCGCACTCTCCTCTTCCTTGCACTCTCCTCTTGCCTCCTCGCACTCTGCTCCCCCTCTCACTCTCCCCTGCAGAATCCAAATCCTTCAGCCCATCCCCCTCTGCTGCACGAGTCCCATCTTCCGATCTGTCCCATCTTCCGATCTGTCCCCGCCGTCTCTCTCCTTCAACACTCCTCTTCACTCGACCAACAAATCACATCAAATCCTCACTTGCTCATGTCCCCACCGTCCTTCCGCTCTCCAACACCTTCAAACACTCACCCCCTTTTTCCTTCTCTCCCTCTCTCTCCCTCCCTCCCCCGTCCCTTCCCCCTCCGTTTCTTCCCTCTCCCTCCCCCGCCCACCACAATCCTTGTCACTTGCCATGCATACGCCCCTTGCCCCCCCATCTCAGAGCATCCCTGGATCAAGACGCATACCACACACTCGTGATACCTTGTCCATTCAAATCTACGCGCCTCCTGTTCCTTGCAAGCCTGTGCGCTTATTGAGGTAGGTTGCCATACCAGTTCTTTCTATTGAATACCACCACCACCGCAGCCCCCACCCCCTCCTCCTCCCCTCTCCTCCACGTGATTCACTGAATCTGTACATGGACGTTCTCCTTAATTCTGTAAGACCGTAATGTTGAGGTGTCATATTTTTTTTGTCGCATTCTGATGTTAACGTGTTAGCAACAGCTTGAAAGATGTGTATTGTGGTCCTCGTAACCACAATAGTAGCCTTTGCAAGGTCAAATTCTACTGTATATACGAAAGTGTGCGATGTGGATGTGTACATCCTGTAATTCGCTGTGTCTTCGATAAATTTCATGAAAACATGTGTCTAAACAGTTGCAAATAAACTTTCATACATGGGTTTGTTTTTTCAAGGTTGTCTCCATAGTTCGCCTATCACAGTTTGAACCATGAATGTGAGTTTAGGCGACAACCACCCTTAGGGATTACTGTATAAGGTTCTGCTTAATCTTGCTATCAGAGCGTTTTGATACAGTGCTGTACTATATATCGTTGCTGTGCCGTACTAAATATAAATTGAATATCCCCATTATGACGAAAAAGCTCACTTAGTGTGCTCCCTGCATTTATTTTCTAAAGCTATTAATACACCTCATTGTTTTCTTTTTCATTTTATTGTTGCAGCAAAGGTACAGCCTTTCAAGAAGTCGTAAAACGGGGCTGTAAAGTGGACTTTCAAGAATGGCGAAAAGCTGGCGGATTCTTGACCAACAGGAACAAGGCTTTGGTCAAGGAGAACGCAACCCTCGCCATCTGGCGCAGACGGGCGTGACGACGTTCGCAGCTGGCAACCGTCGTTTCGTTATCGCTTTCTCCAATCGCGATGCATTCGTCGGATAAGCCACTTCGCGTGATATGCAGCAGAGATCCGTCCATCGTGCTTTTGCGTCGTACAGGGATCATCGACGACATCGTAGTAAATATCGCAACGCGGCGTACCACAGTGGGAAGTGCGCTGCGGGACATCGCGCCGCGAATTGTTGTCGTGCGAAATTGCCAAGTTGCGACTTTCACTCCAGCCTCACCTCACCTCTCACCTCACATCCACTCACCCGCAAGCTCCAACATTCGGAAATTTGGGAAGAAATTTGATTTGGACATGGCTGCCATTGACGCTATTTCTTACGAGAATGCACTTCAACAAGCCGGCACAGTAACATTGTGAAGAAGTGAACGAGAATGAATGAACTATGAATGGAGTGGGTACAAGTACTAACCCTAATTGGGTTGTACCCCCTATGGGATACCCAACTATAGCCTACACAGAAGCATAAGCTATAATGTTCTGACACACCCCCATAGGCAAAGTGGGGGAGAACAAGGGGTCACAAGACCAGTCAAGCAAAGCAAAGCAAAGCAAGCTCAGGGTGGATCACAACGTCACCACACAGTCTCAGCACAAGGTCAAGGCCACAAGGCCAGTTCACATGCAGGAGGAGAGATATATATATAAGTCTAAACAAGCAAGAGTAGGTATATATATATGCAAGAGTACAAGTAAGGTCAAGAGGTAAGCAAGTGAGGCAAGACTGGGACAAGTCCCAGCTGAGTGCAGCAACGCTGATGATCACAAGGCGGAAGTGCCTTGGTGAAAACATCAGCAGTGTTGGCCTCAGAGGCCACGTACGCAAGTCGCAACTGACCACGCTGCTGCAGCTCACGAGCAAGAAAGTAGCGGAGAGCAATGTGCTTCGTTCTGTGCTCCAGGCGCTGCTCTCGACACAAGGCCAGCATGGCCTTGTTGTCTACGTACAGCACTGGAGGAGAACGAGGCGGCTCTCCAAGGTCAGTCAGCAGGTAGGTGAGCCAGCGAAGCTCCTGAGCAGCCATGGCCCCGGCGTAGATCTCAGCCTCACAACTGGAGCCGAGAACCGAAGACGAGCGAGTAGCCCGCCACGAAACAGAGCCGGAACCAAGACTGAAGGTGTAACCCTGTGACGACCGCTGAGTACCAGTGGACCGCTCAGTAGCCTGGTCGTCAGCCCAAGAAGCGTCCGCGTGCCCAGTGAGGACCACTGGCTCCGCCCTCCAAGCACTAGCCTCATGCCCGATGTACTGCACAAGTAGCGCAACACCCTATTCGCTGCAGCCATGTGCTCTGGTCGGTGTCTCCCAGGAGCAACATAGCGTGCCAAGATGCTAAGAGGGTATGCAAGGTCAGGTCGTGTGCAGGTCATCAGGTACATGAGACAGCCAACAAGCTCTGGGTACGGGCCACTCGACTCTACGGACTCATCCAAAGGCAGAGCTGAGAGCGAGTGGCGAGTAGACAGAGGAGTGGCCTGAGGCGAGGAGTACGTGAAGCTGAAGCGCTGAAGGACCTGCTGCACCATGTGTGACTGAGTCAAGGTAATGGTGCGGCGTGCTCTGTCCCGAGTGATTTGCAAGCCAAGGTAGCTGCGCAGTTCACCCAGGTCTGTGCACGTGTGTCTCTTCTGCAGCTCGGACTTCACGTAGGCGAGTCCAGCAGTGTCCGCTGTGGCAAAGACCAAGTCGTCGACGTACACGAGGATGTAGAACGGCGGTAGAGAAGTGTCGGTGCGCAGAAACAACGACGGGTCAGCAGTAGAGGGAGCAAACCCAAGAGCCGCAAGCGTAGTCCTCAGTGTGTTGTGCCACTCACGCGGTGCCTGGCGGAGACCGTAGACTGGCCGTCGGAGGCTCGACTGGGTGCCAGGAGGGAAAGTCCCAGTGAAGCCAGGTGGACGGCGCAGCCAGATCTCCTCGTGCAGGCTACCCTGCAAGAAAGCAGTGCTGAAGTCAAGAGAGTGGAGCTCGTAGTCGCGCTGAGCGGCTATGTGCAGCAGCACCCGAAGAGTGGTCATCTTCGGGGTGGGAGAGAAGGTCTGAAAGTAGTCAACTCCCTGCCGCTGACTGAAGCCACGAGCGACGTACCGCGCCTTGAAGACAGGTGGAGAGCCCGGCGGCCGCTTCACCCTGAAGATCCACATCCCACTGACGATGTTCGCCCCAGGAGGGGGAACCGCGTCAACGTAGGTGCCTGTGGACTTCCAGGAAGCCATCTCTGCATCCATAGCTGCCTGCCACTGAGACGAGTAGGGACCCTCTACGGCCTCCGCGTAAGAGCGCGGAGTCGGGATGTCTAGTGCATCCGGGTTTCCCTCAGGGGTAAGCACTACGGACGCGAGATGAGGTGGAGCAGCAGCCAGACACTGGAACTCCTCAACCCTGTCCTCAAGGACGTCCGTGCCAAGAGCACACTCACCCCCGACGGACGGAGGACAGACAGACGCAGACTCAGCAACAAGACTAGCAGCGTAGTCCAGACGACAGCGAGCAGCAAAGTCGACGAGCTCAGCAACAAGAGCAGACGCAGCAGTGGACTCAAAAGAGGGGTCAGTGACGACAGTAGCAAGGAGACGCGTGACAGTAGGACTGGCAGCACGAAGGGAGTCCGACGCCGGGTTGGCAAGCGCAGGAAGAGAGGACTCAGGAGGAGAAGGCAAAGGGGCACGGAGAGGAGCAGTGGAGGGACGCAGAGACATCCGGTGCGTGCCAGGGACAGGAGGAGGACGCTGACGCGAACCACGACCACGAGCGCAAGCAGTACGGACAGACGACGCGTGACGAGACGCAGGGTCACGACGCTCAGTAAGACCTCCAGTAGGACCAGTGTAAGGAGAGGGAGCAGGCAGTGGGGAGGCAGGCTCTAACTGTGACTGTGACAGGACAGGCGGTGGACACTCTACAGGAGGAGAAGGACCAAGAACCTGCTGCAGGAGCGGAACGAAGTACGGCCGAGGCCGCGCGGCGGCACCAGACATAGCAGGGACATCACCAGCACCCTCAGCACCTCCGGCAGCACCAGCGCCAACAGCACCTCCAGCGGCAGGACCTCCAGCAGCACCAGCAGCACCTGCAACAAGACCACCACCAGGACGGACAGTAGTAGTCTCAGAACCAACACCCTCAGCAGCTCCAGCTCCAGGCGGACCCGCAGGCCCAGCAGCTCCGGGACCGGCGGCACCAGCACCCTCCGCGGCCGAAGAAGCGCCAGCTCCAGCAGTACGCCTCCAGCGGCGAGCAAACCACTCACGCAGCTCCTGTGGAGAGAGTGGCTCCCGCCGAGACGAAACACCCAGAGAACCTCCAGGCCCAGCACCGCCAGACGCCACAAGGGGAGGTCCAGTGGCCGCAGGCTCCACACCTCCAGGCTCAGCAGCTCCAGACGCAGCACCCCCAGGCTCTGCACCCCCAGGCTCAGCACCCACGCGCGCAGCACCCCCAGAGTCAGCACCCCCAGGCTCAGCACCCCCAGGCTCAGAACCCCCAGAGGCAGCACCCCCAGGCTCAGCACCCCCAGGCTCAGCACCCCCAGACTCAGCACCCCCAGAGTCAGCACCCCCAGGCTCAGCACCCCCAGGCTCAGCACCCCCAGCAGTACCTGCGTCACCAGCAACCTCGACCGGCTCGACTGCATTTCCCTGGGACACACCTGAAGGGGCAGGACCCTGAGGGGGAAGGGAGTCTACCGGGGGGGGACCTGGCACAAGGAAGTGCGGTGGCGGGGGGAGGGAAGGAGTGCGGTAGGGGAAGAGGCGGTAGAAGGGGACGGACTCGTCGAACGTGACGTCCTGGGAGGACAGAACACGACGAGAGGAGGGGTGGTAGAACTGCCACCCTGGGGCGTCAGGGGGGAAGCCCAGGAAGACACAGGGAGCAGCACGAGGGGACAGCTTGTCCGCAGACAAGTCGCGGACAAACGCCCGAGATCCCCAGACACGGAACGCAGACGCATCGCCGACCTTCCCCGTCCACAGCAAAGCTGGGGAGGTCTCCGGCCGGGAGACCCTGGGGTGAAGGTTGAGCTGATGCGCCGCGTACTGAACCGCAAACGGCCACAGAAAATGGGGGGCAGCCGCATGCATCATGGACGTACGAGCAACGTCCATGACCATGCCAATGCGGCGCTCAGCAATCCCATTTATCTGTGGAGAGTCCGGAAGCGTGAAGGTCT